TTTTTGTTACCTTAGAATAAGCCGTTTTTAACAACAGCCGCCTTCAATGGAGTCCGCCATGTTATTGTTATGTTAAAACTTGATGCTGCAGTGACTTCCTGTTTACACTGTTGATTGCTTCTGACAGGACGGTGAGCCCAGCTTCTCTTTTTGCCTGTTGTCAGTGGCAACTTAGTGTGTCTAGACTGCAACTTGCTTTGTGATACTGTGTTGGAAAATCACGCTGGTTGGCGCCACCCATACATACGCCTACGTTGTTACCATAGAAACCGCAGATAGATTAACAACACCTGAGCACACAAATCTTAACTGACTACTTTCACATACATGTACTGTATAAGATACACAAAGAGACAGTTGAAGACAAACTATGGGTCCCTCAGTCACATCCCTTGCTGTCTGTCTGCTACCTGCTCTGGGAGAATGAAACCTGATCTGGCTCCTTCACTAATTCACTTCCTCTGTCAACCGTTTTCCTATTCATCCACTCTCCCCCATTCACCTGTTTATTCTCATTCATGCTTGTTCATTCAGGCGACAGAGCAGTGGGGGGAAAAAATCTATGAATGTATGTATGTAGGTAGCTGCTGCCATGGAAACAGGTCACCTGACACTGTCTTTACCAATAGGGATTCCCCCTGTGCGCGTGTATGTATGTATGTGTGTGTGTGCAGGGTGGGGGAGAAAAATGCCCTGTGGAGTGGGATGGGATACAGAAAAATGAGTCAGAGAAGATCCTATCCTGCTTCTTTTTCTTTGTGTGTGTGTGTGTGTGTGCCTCTCAGGACAAAAACGAGAGTGAGTCCTCTTTTTGTTCGGGGCTTCCCTCTATCAGTTAAATATAGCCACAATTATGAAATCCCTTTTTAGCGGAACTGACAAACTGATAAATAATAAAATACACAGACACACTTGCACACACATATAATCTGTCCTGTTTCTGCAGACAGGATCAGCAGTGTCTGATCATCTTTTTTCAAGGTCAAGAAATGATTTTCATATACAAACTCTCGATGTGTCAGTGTATTTTGTCTTGATGTGAGGATTCTTCTGTGCATACTAGTTTATTATTTTATTGTCATTTTATTTTTTCAGCAGCAGAAATATACAATGAGTGACCTACTGGATTTATCAAGGGTAAAGCTTAATTCTCTTACCTCATTCAGCTAAATCTTTATGGTCACACCATGAATTCACTTAAATGAATCTCTATTGTATATGAGATAAATATATATTAAAATAAATACATTAAATCCAACTTAAAAAACATTTCATATCAAATATCTTTTTGCTGATCTGCATATACATAACACAATGTTAACTTCGTAATGGGTGCCATTTTAAATTGACTGAAATTGACTCGGCTGAAGAAAGAAATCTATGAATGAATGGCCAGGTAGCTGCTGCCATGGTAACTGGCCACCTCACACCCATTTTTACCAATGGGGATTCCCTGTGCGCTTCGTGTGTGTATGTCTGTGTGTGTGTGTGTGTGTGTGTGTTTGTGCATCCTGCTCTGAGGAGGAGATACGGTTAAGGAATGACTCAGAGGAGATTTTCCTTCAAATGTTGATGATGATGTAAAATCTAGCAAACTTATTGTAAAAAATTTACCAAACAAATCATGAATACAGTCTTAGTCATAGCTCAGCCAAGGTCAGAGTCATCCAGACAAAAACCTATGAGCATTGCCTTAAAGGATATGTTTGATAATCTGATGATATATTTTTTTTTACAGTCAACTCCCATTAAAGACTAAAATGAACAATAAATTGATCCATCTCATGTAGCCATAAAGCTTTTTCCTCCCAGACGCCTACAGCTGCATGTCGAGGTATTCTTGAGCAAGATCCTGAACCCCAAATTGCTCC